CGCTTCTCCCTAAACACTCTTCTGCTACCAATAGACGAATACATTAATAGAGAATGAAGCGATAGTGAAATAAACCCGTATAGAAAGTCGATATCGTTCCTGATGAAAGGCGAAACGATCGTCGCGCGTACCTTTTACTTTAATGCTCGATGAACAAGTTGCTCGACGATATGTTCGAATATCTTTTTTCTCTTTTTTTTAATTGTTGTCTGTAACCGAAGAAATCTGCGTTTGTTGGCAGTCGGTGAGAAGATGTAATGAGACTGTGAAAGACGAAAGAATCAGTTCTGATCTTGAACTTATTTTGAAAGACGTATTTTAGATCGTTGTTTTCCCTACTACATCTAAAAATATTCGTCTCTTTGTAAGAGAGAATCGTTTGAAAGAATCCAATTCTTGTTTGATTCTATTATACTACAAAAGCTAGACAAGTCGGCAGAAATAATTGATTTCAAGAAACTGTCGCAAATTCTTACTTAGCTGTCGTCGTAAATTAATGTATGTAGTCAGCAACCTGGCATGATATTGAAACAATAAAAATGATTCGAAATCAAATCATAAGGCAAGCAGTTAATATGTATATCCTTTCTTCCTCGTGAAATATTTCGAGACAAATGACGAAGTGGTTGGACGCGAGACAGAGAAATAGACGAATTAAAATAATACAAAATTATTCGAAATCAAATTACAAGGTAAAAAATCAATATATATATATCCTTTCTTGTTCGTGAGAATTAGAAATTTAAGAAATTTCGAGAATAATCGCAGATCTTCGTCAAATTAAAATAATACGAAGTTATTCGAAATTAAATTACAAGGCAAAGAAAGAACTGGAAGTTAATGAATATTTCGAGAACAATCGTACAGAAATTAAAATAGTACAAGTTATTCGAAATGAAAATAAGATATATATATATATATATATATATATATATATATATATATATATATATATCTGTTTTTCTTCGTGAGAATTAGAAATTCAAGAATGTTTCGAGAATAATCGTCGAAATGACAGAGCAATCTTGCTGTTGGGCACGAAGCAGGGAAATGGAGAGTAGAGGACGAATGGTCGAGGAGCGTTATCTCGCCGGAGTGAAAGGGTAGTGGACAGATGAAAGCAAGGAAATTCAGGCAGGGTAGCCTCTCAATTATTCGTTGGCATCGATCGGGGATGCCTTGGCGTGGCCGCGTACGTTGCGACGATGTGTCGCCGGCGTGTCGTACACGCGGAAAGACAGTTTGGCAGGGCATGTGTCTCGTGAAAGAAACATCGCCCGGTCCCCGACGCTCTAATGGCCAGAGGGTTAATCGCGACTAGGAGGCGAGTAAAGCCAGAAATAAACCCGCGTAAAGATTTATGAACGGACGGTGAAAAGAGGAGATTGCTGATTCGCCGCGCGGCTGCCGCAGGATTTCATCTGTCCGCTCGGGGATTCGTGTGGTTCGTGATTGTTTTCCAAAGAGCGGCGCCGATTGGGTGGAGCGGCCGCCTCGAGGAAAAAACACGCGCCCGCGATTATACGAGCACGAGGTGAGAACCAAATTGTTTCGTTATTATCGAGAGAAAGAGAGAGAGAGAGAGAGAGAGAGAGAGAGAAAAGAGAGAGAAGAAAAGGTGGAAGAAAAGGGGGGAGGAACTCCTTCAGGAGAATTGTTAGGAATGTCTGGAGAAATTTCCACGGGGGAAACGGACTCCCGGGTTTATGTAAAATCGAGAAGTGCCGGATAGAGATTTATGAACGCTAACAAGTCGCTTGAAGAAGTCGGATCGGATATTGTCGGGCGGTGGTAAAAAGGATCCTCTTCTTTCTTAATTTATCGACTTTCACCGGCGCTCTCATTAATTATTTTCACGGATAAATGTCGTGGGAGACCGAGGCCGTGCCGAAAGCCTCGTAATCCCTGTGAAAATATTTTTTTCGAGCCCTCCCCGAGTTATCTATCCAGGCGACGGCGAACGACGGCTAACGACACGGCGTATTTTAATAGCGTTTGACGTTTAAACACGGAAAAGTACAATCTCTTTACCCTTGCGAATCGAAGAAAGTTTGAACGAAGGAGAGGTGAAAAGACACCGGGAACCCTCAGCCCGAACAACTGCCCGGGTCGCTGCAGCTAAGCAGTCAAGGATTACCTGTCCACAACGTTTTTTTTTTTTCTTTCTTTCTTTCTTTTCCAACTATTAGGCGAATTAAACAATCGCAAGCATATCTGTCGACTGTCTGCAAATATTTTCGAAACAGTACAAACTTTATCGCAGTTCGCGAATTGTTTCCGGTATTTGTTCCTTACACTTAACAATTTTACTTGCGATTAACGAGTTATTTCCAATCGATATCATCGACAGAAATTTCGGGAACCGCACGAATCCGCACGTGTTATTTCTCGTGGAAAACAAACTTTTCGAACGAGCACGAGCCAGCCAGTTTGAAGGAAGGAAGCCAACCTATCCGGCTCGTTCTTGCGCAATTTCTCGTCCTTTAATGAACGCGTTTCCTTTCCTCCGCGAACAAAGAGCCCGTTAATTAGAACCACTGCTAACGGCGCAAACACATGTTTATAAAACAAAGGTAATTTCCGTTCTTCGAACGCAATTAAATTTCACCATCGATATCGTAATTTTTTCCGCGACAAGCGACGCACGCGAACGTTAACCGAACGACGCCCGTGTTCACAGGCTAATGAACGAGACGCGCCATTTTGTCTTTCGAGGCGTGAGGCGAGAAAAATATAAGCACGATCCATTTTCTCGCAGCTGCGATGATAATGATGATAATAATAATAATTACGAGCCCCTTTGCCACGGCGGTCTTTCGCGACCCAGTATCGTTCTCTCACGGTTTACTCTTCCTCCATGCTTTTCTCTCCTCTTTCTTTATCCCTCGACCGTATCTACTCGTCGAGTCGTAAAAAGACGTTCGCGCATCGTCGATGAAACACCTTCGTCGGGCAAACCGATTCCGCTCCATGTTAATGCCTTTGAATTACGAAATCGCGAGGTAGTTCATTTACGGATTCACTCGCCGGATGTCGTTCCGATATTTCTTCTCGTCGACGACGACGACGATTCCGAGGACTTGGAAAGACGTCTTAACGACATGGAAAGCGAACGATAGTTTTTGATATTCGTCTCGTAAAAACGAACTCTTCCTTCTACCTTTCTCAGCCAAACTTTTTACGCCCCACTGTCGTCGTCGTTGCGGCAATGTCTCCTCGAACGTGATGGCTTAAAAATTATTCGGCTAGCAGCAGAACGTTGCCGTTCTCTATCAATTGTTTCGAAGCGGACTCAGGTCACGAAGATTTCTCGTCTCGATTACGCTTTACGCCGGCGTTTACGAATTTACGACGTTGGAACAACGGGTTACTAAATTAAAATGTTTCCTTCTTGACTGCCATGTTTCTCGAACTTTCTTTAACTCTTTGGCCACTGTTGACGCCTAGAAGCGCTTTTAAAATTTGTTTTCGAGATGCCTATAGGCGCTTAACTTACAATTAGTTTGGTCCACCAGAACGAGAGGCGCTTACAGATTTCACGTTGCTTGAATCAAACTAAAGGCTCCCGGCGAATGTTATTGACAATAATTGCGACAAAAGAAATATTGGATCAGACGTAAGTGAATTCTAATTGAACAATTATACCTTCCGTTAATTATAATATGTCATTTAAGTGTGATTATTTTACAGTTATTTCATTTGATACCCTCAAAATGAAAAGGTCAGGAAAAGACACAAATATATAGCATGTAGAAAAGGAGACAAGAACGCATTACGAATGAAAGAAATGTGATTATCTATTAATCCGTGTTTCGAATTATACCATATCTTACTAGATTATCGGACATATTATGAAATAAAGCTATTGTTAAAGCTATTGTTAAATTTTCATTATGTACACTAACAATCAATAATACAGAATACAAAGGAATAAATAATATTGGTTTGATGCAGTGCAATTCAATGTTTTGATTATTTCAATATACTTTCTGAGAAATGCACGCTGACGGAAAATTTCCCAGTTACGATTGAATTTTCTCGCTACGTGCGGTACGTATCGAGGTCTGTCGTAGCGGAAGGGTTAAAATAGCTTTGAAGAGAGAAAGGAAAACAGCGTGGAATCTCCGATGTTCGAATTAACAGGAATAGCCGACTGTTCAGAACAGGCAGAACACTTGTCCCTTCTCTCAGAAATAATTGGAAAGATAATATACAATATAAATGTAAATCTTTTTAGATCATTCCGTGTGTTCCTAGATTGAATTGTTGTTGCGTCGAATTGTTCCGGCTGTCTGCGTCAAGTCTGTCGGCATATTCACGTTCGAGTACTGAAGGTTCTTTTTATTTCTTAAATTATTTATATTGTTTTGATACCAGAGAATGACTTGGAATAGTCCATTTGGGCCATCGTACTCAGGTGCTCGGTAGTTTTATCGGTCGTATAATCTGAATTATAAATTGAATGTGAACGAAATGAAATGCCATGAAACGTCGAATAACTCGATGGACCAAAATGTCGTGAATCACGCAAGAATATCAAAGAAGAGTCAAGAAAACACTGGTTATCCCACGGAGAGAAACAAAATGTCCCTTAAAAAGTTTCTGCTTTGAGAGCACGCGAAATCGATAAAGGAAAGACAAACGATGACGCCAGGAATAATAAAAAAGACAGGAAAACTCGCTCGGTAGATTGATGCGTGTTCCAGTGGGTTCGCCGGCCCGCTTTTTCCCTATCTCTCACTCTCTTTTTTGTTTACCTCCACTGTCCCCCTCCCCTTCTCTCTCTCTCTCTCTCTCTCTCTCTTTTTACAACCCGTCCCAGAAAAAAGGGTTTCATTTAACCGAGAAAGTTTCGCCGATGAAACGCCGACAACGGTTCCCTCTTCGGAGGATTCTGTTTATACGTTTATGTCGAACGCGACTGTTTGTTCCGGGGCGCTACACGCTATATTTGCACGGCCGACCGGGCTGAATCAATTTCTGCTTTTGGTTTCAGTGCCCCTGTACGATGGCGAGCAATTAAACTTGACGAGGATCACGCGCAATGAAATGGGCGCGTATCTGTGCATCGCGACCAATGGCGTGCCGCCAACAGTCAGCAAGAGAATCACCGTCGACGTCGAATGTGAGTGGATTTCAAGATATACACGATAGCCAAGGGGTACCCGCCCCCCGTCGCCCCCTGGTCCCGCGTCCACATTCGTTTGTCGAGTTACGTGTACCTAAGCCAACCACCCGCGCGTTCTCGATGTCTCGTTGCCTCTCGTATTTGTTTTAGCGTGGCCGAAAGGATTCCTCTCTATCAAAGATACACTCATACGACCGTACGACCGTGCGGTGCCGGTCTGGCAGGGAAAACGTAGAGCTTTCGTTATTAACGAACCCGCCGAATTACGGTACAAAGGCACACGCGAGCGTCGAGTCTTTTCCATTCTCATTTTTCACTTTTCTACTCCTCGACGCAGAGAAATTCGATTCTCGGGACTGGTAAGATTCCGTACGTTCGTCACCAATGTTCCGGTTTTGTTCGTTCGTTTGTTTGCCTATTCGGTTCGGAATTCAGCGGTGCAATTCAGCGATATTGGAGTATTCGTGTAATAACCCCCTCCGCGCCAGCACGACGTGTTTCTACTCGTCGGGGAAATTGGCTCGAAATTTTCACGCGCTCTAGGAAAGATACGTCACTGTTGTTAACAATCTCGTCGAGAGTAAACTTTTCCTAAAATAACAAAAAAAAAAAAGAAGTAAAAAAACGTTCGAAAAACTTCGATCCCCCGGTCATTTGTGTTAATCGAATAACGCGAGGCACAAATTGCGACGACTCTCATTGCCAGTTAATGATCCAATATCGGAAAGTAAATTTCGAATCGGACGTGAAGCCACGCATTCGTGAACCGCGAACCCGTTTCAAAACGCAATAACAAATAAGCGGTTAAGCAAATGGAACTGAATCGATAACGAAATTAAAGCTGAATGGGGGAAATCATCGAGTCGAATGACGACGGGCTGCGAAAACGCTCGCTGCGGAAGTTAAATTCCCGTAATCGAGGTCCCCTGTGGAGTGGGTGGAGAGAGTGGAGAGAGTTGGAAAGAAGCCGGCGGCGCTTCGGCGTGGCATTGTTTAAATTTCATTTCACGAATTGCCAGCGAGCTGTGGCGCGGGCGACGCGTCCGCGTCCGCGTCGGCGTTGGCGTCGACATCGGCGTCCGCGTCGACGATCCGGCGTCGCGAAAGAAGAAAAGGCGGGAGGGGCAGAAAGGGGGGAGGAGGAGAGCAGATGCGCCGTTAGGAAGGCCCGAGGGAAATACCGGGCAGGTCGACGGTAACGTCCCGTCGTTGCTGGTCATTTTTCCCTTTTACGCGTTCCATTCGTTCGTGTCATTTCGTTCGTGCCAGCTTCGTGTGCGTACGCGAAAGAAAGAGACAGAGAAACAGAGAGAGAAAGAGAGACAGAGAGAGAGAGAGAGAGAGAGAGAGGATGAGAGAAAAGGGGCCGCAGGACAGCCCGAACGCTGTCCTTTGAATATTTAGAAAGGCGCGGACATACTTTATTTAGACCGGCGAGAAAACAGCCGGCTTCCGGCTCCCGTGCTCACGAAACTCCCGCCCCGGTACTTTTGTTTCCTCATGCCCACACGTTTGAATAATTTTCACCCGTTTCCTCGACCCTCCGGTATCTTTGCCCCGAGACTTGTCGCTGCCTTGGAGAATCGGTGAATTAGAATTAGCGGATCGACAACTGGACAGAGGTAATAGTCGTTGGGGATTTTTAGTTGGCCAGAGCACCGAAACTCTCGCGTGCTTCCTTTCTTTATAAAGTTGTTACATGCATCGTTCCAGATCATTCAAATTTACCCTCGACAAAAATGGTTGAAAAATACAAAAACACTCGAAACGCATCGTCGTCACCACGAACTCGTATATTTTACGAGGCGATAGGGCTCTGTTTTATCGTTCCATGAATCAGCGAAGCGAGCACAATTACAACCCGTAATTTTCGTTCTCTTTGGAAGAAAGCAGACACTCTCCCGAGACTGAACACCTGCAATGCTTTTCTTCCGCGTCTCGCGAAGAATTTATTCCGGGTCGGCCAGCCATCCAGAAACATCAAGAGAATACACTTGCCCCTCCTTAATCCAGATTATATCGGAGAGATTTTCGTTTCGCGTATTCTGCTAGCGCCACTTGCTAGCGTGCTTTGTTCAACAGCGTATCGCAAAAAGGGAACAAACCGCACGGCGCCTACAGAGAGAAAGAGAAGGAGAGTGGCTGAGCTCCTTTGAGTACTTAGGGGAGACATATTTTACTCGGCTGCGCGCAAGATAATCTCGCAAGGTCTCTCTCTCTCTTTGTTTCTCTCGTCTTATGCTTTTAAGTCAACGTTGATTCTTTCTCGAACGAAATTTTCTTTCCATCGACTGATCGTGGCTACTTGGAGCTCTTTGTGCGACGTTCTCGATACACGTAACAACGAAACCACGATCATACTCGGAGATTTGACAAATAACCGTAACACGCGACTTTCTACCTATGCGTCGCGAGTAAAGCAAAGTCAGAGGAATAAATTCTGTGGCTCAGGACAAAGACGAAAATCAAGAGCAAGATCTTCGAGATATCAATGTGAAGGATATAACTGTTACCAATGTTAGCGAAGTTGTCGATAGTCTAAAGTAACTTTGTAAAGCAAAAAAATCGCACGACGATTCTCGTTTGGTCTCATTTCGAAGCTGCATTTTTGCCAGCTGCAATTTTCGAGAGAAAGTGCATCCTCGCTTTTTCTCATTCGCTATATAATGTATAATAAAATCACTTTCAAAAAAAAAAAAAAAAAAAAGCGAATTCACGACACTGTCAAAGTAGAAACTTGGCGCTTTAAAACGAGACGAAAAGTGGATTGTTACATGATCTCTTTTTTGGAAACAATCAGTTTCAATTAATCGACGAGTATTATACTTGTATAACAGAAGTGATGCAATAAATACAATATTTACAATATAATTAAATACTATAAAAACTTTGTACAATAATGATCCCGTTAATCAATTAATGCATCGTATTATTATATTATTACATATTATATATTATGTGCTGTATTATAATGTACATTGTATTATAGTATACCAAATACTAGAAATAGAAGTGTCCGAAAACAATTCAATTTTCAGTGTGCACGTGCACAACCATAGAATACACATAAAAGTGGACAATCGACGAAAAGTTATTCAAAGTGTAGATCGACAATACAGTATGAAAATAATACTCTCTTAATTGGCTCTTACGCAACGTTGTCGTTTCGAAACTGATGTTCGTCTTGGCCAGAGCCGTCGGATATCCCTGACTTCGTTCAGGGTACCGTCGGGAGCTATATACATATAAATACATATAAATCCTGTTCTTTCAAACAGAAGAAAAGTGGAAATCGGAAATATTCCACGGTTCGTATCGGAACGGTAGAAATAATCATTCGAATAGGGTGGCGATAAAAGAGCCGGCCCCCCCGCTCCGGAGAATGGGCTTTTTTGCGACAAGTGAAAAATGAGGGGTGAAACGGTTATCTGGGATTACCGGGGTGGGACCGCGGAAAAAGATATTCGATCAACGCGCGGGATCCGAAGTGTCCTTCAACCGGATTACAAAAATCCCGCGATCGTCCCCGCTTAATGCTTCCTCGATGCCTCCCGGGTGGCATTATACAAATTCGACGGTACCTCGGACAGAATAACCAAAGTGACGGAATAAACGATCCGCGCTCCCGGTTCACTTCGCGCCGTTTCCCTTCCTTCCTTCGTCGTCCAATTTGACCTCGCGATTGCTTGCGATCGCGAGGACGAAGAAAAAGCAGGAGACGAGAGCGCGCATTTGAATCGCGATTCTTCTCGGATGGTGGCAAATTACAGATGGTGGGTTCGCGATGGTAGATTCATTAGGTTGGTACGAAATTTCTAACTGGGCCTTTAATCCCTTTCCTCGTGGAAAGAAGAAGCGTGGATGGCAAGGTGCCTGGAAGAGTCCGATTAGTTTTGTTGCTCGATTACTGGCGATAACTGGGAACTGCGACTAACAAAGTACGCTCGCCCACGGTTAATTAATGGCTACATTCCCAGTTTGGATAATTAAGATACCGCTGAGGCGGAAAGTCCTTTTGAAGACAACGGAGTTCATCTCACGGAAGAGTAAACCTGCTTCAAGATGCTGGCTTTGTTCCTTCTCGTCTCTATTTTTCGATAGTCTCGTGCCGAGCCCTCCGTGGCTTGGAGTATTGAAATTTGGCGAATCTAATCGATCAGGTATTTGTATTAAAGTTCTTGAGCTAATTCACATCAACTTTCAAGCATTTTTGCCAATCGCTCTTGCTCGAGATTGCTGCGACAATATATTTCAGACAACATACGCTTTTTACGAGCGTGTGTTGATAAAAATCCAGCCGCGCACACTCGACGGAAATTAAGGGGGCAGGACAGTTTGACGGGTCTAACAATTACGAATACTTTTGAAGGCTAATAAAAAAAGGTATATATTTGATTGACACGAGCTTTTGTGGTTTATTTTAACACATTATGAACTATAAAAAGCAACATTAAAAAAGGAACAAAGAGGGCTCTTATTTAACTTTTTAACGATATTCTTTTACATAACTTTTTTTTCACATTGCCTATCGATGTGCATGGTTCCAGGCAAACAGGATTAGTTGCAACAAAACGGCAAAAACATTTCAAAAGTAAAGAATATTCTCTAGGGATTGACGATCAAATATTTTCATTTTTGCGAAAATTATCAAAATAGCAGCTATTTGTTTTTGACGTATCGAATTTATGCCAAAAATTTCCACGTTTTTTGTTTATATTTTTCGAAATTGTTAAAAATTGAAAAATGTTAAATCGCCAGTCCCTAGTAAATATTACACTAAAGATACGTACCAAGTTTCATAGTAATCGGTTGTTTAGATTCCAAGATATCTTGCACACCGTTTCTAAAAACCTAGTTTCGAGAAAAACGCGTTTAAAGTTTCAAAACGTCATTTTTCATATGTATCATTTACTTACTTTTTTTACTTATACATCGCGGCTCACAGTCTCTTACAATTCACAACTAAATTGAATCCAAGTCCCCCAACACTCGATTCACCAAAAATAATATTTGAATCGCACGATTTGCACTTTATAATACTGCTTAAAGTTATGTAAACAGTGAGAGAAATTCAATTATTCCGTATCCCCGGATTTATAATAAGTCGTTTTAAAGGCTAGAACCTTTTGTATCTTATTTCTAAGACTTCGAAACTACTATTTAAAACAAAACAAAACTGAAAAGAAATTGATTTTTTGAAAATTTCAAATTATTCTGACCCCCTTGAACGAAACGCCGAGGGACTCGCGAAATTTCCAAAATCCGATCGTAAACCAAGATCAGAGAACGCGTGTGAGTGATTCGTCGGTAGCTGGCGTTCGGGGAATTAATTTCACCGTAGGATGGGGGGGGGAGGGGGGGCAAGAACTCGGGAGGGAACGCAGAGTATGAAAAGGCACGAGCAGCGAAGGAAGGGCGAACCGATAGTAGATAGATCCGATGGCGGGAAATCGGGAGAAGTATGCGTTAATTAGGGTCAGCGCTGGCAATTTGTGGATTTGTGGCGAGCCTGATGCATACCGCCGATGGCCGGCCTCGGGAGATAACTGCTAAGCCGGCTGCTCCCTGTTATTCGTCTACGGTTAACCCCGTTCGTTTCGCGATGCCGCCAATTTTGTTTCCCGCTGTCTACGTCTAGGCCTACGAGCAATCCGGGTCACGTTGCACTTTCGCGCGATTAATCGCCGACGGCGGTGCCTCGTTTAATCGACGAGGAACGTCTGCTCGGAACGTCTCGTCGTTGCCTGTTCCCGGCGAACCGCGGGAATTCACGCGGAAGATGGTCGAATTTGCTCAGCAAGCGACGCTGGCCAATGACGCGCATTGCCCGGCCGAATTACGCGACCTGCATCCCTGAGATTAATCTCTAAACTAGCTTCTCGCCGTGTCCTAATCAAGTTCTCCGTTTCGAGAACTCGCTACCAAATAACTTGTCCAAACGTTCTGAATGTTGGCCAATCCTCGCTCGGTCGGTAGCTGAGGGGAGAGAGGAGGGTGGAGAGGGGGGAGAAAAAAATTCTTGGCCCTGGCTTCGGTTCACCGTTCGCCAAATTCGAACTCACCCTCGTTGATTGGCCCGTGTATGCTGTCCTAATCCGGGGTTTCACGCGACAAAGTTTCTCCAACCCCTGGACCCCAGCAAGTTTCGCGTTTATCCCCGGTCGAATTAAACGACACGGACGCCGCGCGTGGTTATTTTCCGCGCGGTATGCAACCCATTTGGAACGGTATTTACATTTGATCAATTCGAGAAGAACGGGGCAAGATAGGGGATGTTACGCCAGCAACCTCTCGTGTTCTCGTTCCACGGTTGGGGAAAGAAACTCGCTCGCGGGGGAGAAAGTTTTTCACCTGGAGCAGTGTTTGTTGGTCGACGCATGGGAGACGCGACCCGCGAATACTGATGGGTTTCTCGCAAATCGAGAAATTGTCCCCGAAGCAACTCTGTTTGCCAACAGAATTGAAATGAAAAGATAGCATTGTAATAACGTTCGCGTGATATAATTCTCGTTTTGTTTCTCTTCTTTCCCCTTTTGTTTCTCTTTTTTTCTTTTTTCTATTTTTTTTTTTTTTTCTTTTTTGTTCCTCATTTCGTTAAGCAAAGTTTAGTTCGAGTCGAAAATGGCTGTAGACTGGTTTATTGGTCTTTTAACTTTCCTCCGCGGAATTCTCTCCGGTTATCAAGGCAAACGCGAGATTCGTTAACGACACTGATACTTCATCGCTGGCAATTTAAGATCCATCCACCGCGAGAGCTTTAATCTTCTCCGGCCATCGATCTCCATAATCGCTGAAACAGCTCGGTATAATTCACGGTCAGTGATTTCGTGGAAGATAAATCGTACACGAACGGTGGCTTGGGCCACGGTTCGCCATAAACATCCATGGCGAGTTGGCTTGATCGTTAACCGCGTGAACGTTACCGCGGACGATCATTCATTCGCCGTGGACCAGGATTTCCCACTTCGGTTCCAAACGGTAACCAATTTCTCCGTTTCATGTTGAAGTCTCGCCGATGATCTTCGTGCCGAATCAGCTGGTCGGCGCGCCACCTGGCACCAACGTCACCATCGACTGCCACACGGAGGCCTATCCACGAGCGATGAGCTACTGGTTCCTCGGCGACGAGATGATACTGTCCAACGAGAAGTACACGACCAACATCATGGAGAACAGTTACAGAGCGTACATGAGACTGACCATTAGAAATCTGCAGGACGGTGACTTCGGCAACTATCGTTGCATCAGCAAGAACTCGTTAGGCGAGACGGAGGGCTCGATCAGGTTGTACGGTAAGGCAATTACGATCGGAAAGCCGTCATTCATGTTACTTCGAAACATTATTTTCTACTTTTTATTCTGGTATCTGTGTGCCGGAATACATGCGCCTCTGATCATAATTCACTCGTTCATTTTGAATTCTGAATTTCATTTTCGATTCATTCATTTCGAATGAAATATTCATCTAGTAGTCTGCCGATGATTTCGATTGCCGATGAGTGTGATTTAGTTTCCTTTGCGAAGATGTGTTTTAGAACTTGTTGGTAACTTGAAGATTTCATATAGAAGAATCCAGGCAGAATTAATTAATCTTAACGTGTAATATTAGCGAAATATAAAGAAAAATATAAATGTAAGAAACAATAATTCTTAAGACGATATTCTCCATAGCGTTTAGAAAGTGAGTGCTCGACGGTAATAAAAATTATGCAACTTCAAAGGTGGATAATTTTTTATTTCAGCAATTCCGAAGCCGTCCGCGGCACCGAAGGCCACGGAGATCAAGAGCAGCGCCAACAAAGAAGGTGAGAGCCTCGTTGAATACATTGCACTTTCGAGCCCCCGAGATCGATCTGTCACGTAGATCCTCTCCGACGCTTCCCTCTTCATCGAACTCGTTACGTCCGCGTTTTATTTTCGAATCTACCGCCGAAAGTTGCTCTCCCCGCGCTTCCACGAACCAGTCGAGGAACCGTACGTTTAACACCGTTGGAAAACGAAACGGTCCAGGACGGGAGGGGGGTGTCAGCGACACGGTCGACCATTAAATTTCACGAGAGATCAAGGGAGGAGTTTGCTTTGGTAATCCAAACAATTTAGTCGAGAGTCTCGCGTCCGTATCGATTGCTTTACGCTCGTTCGGAACACAGTGGAAACGTTATCCCGTCTCTCCTTCGAAGAGAGATACGTTTCCCTCCCGCGATCGACTACGAACATCCTCGATACCGCTAACGATATCCGTTCCGCCTGCCGGTTTGAATCTCTTCTCTATTCGTCAGCTAGATCTCATCCTCGTATAATTAGCAATTTCAAGAATTCGATCTCTCGTCGTTCGGCATCGAACGGTAACAGGTATTCGGTAGCAAAGGAATTTTATAATTAACAGGCAAATAGGATTATAGGATATACGTTTCTGGTCGAAAATTATCTCCTTGCCTCGATCCTTTGACGACAACGTCGGTATCTCGTACCGAGCATATTTTAATAGATATTGATCTGTCACACAGTATTTTAGTTGAAACTTTATGAAACGAATATGGCTAATGGCGGACCGATTTTTTTTTATTACGATCCTTAAATGGACTGTAGAATACATAGTTGAAGTTTATATTTAACTTGCACGCATATTTCCATCGTTGGAATTATACAAACCTATATGAGACCTATTTCATTAATAGTCATTAATCTACTTAGGAATTAAAAAAAGATTTCTCATTGTAAGAGTGAAAATATATCCCAAAGAAGCATTGACTTTTCACTTCCTAAATTTCTCTCGGACCACGCAATTCCGACTTCACGGTATCGGTCGTCAAGAGAATTATGACCCAGAGAAATTTAAGAACCAAAAATTGATGAGCGAAAATGGTTTCGATATTTCGTATTCCAGAGCAGCATTAGAGATTGCAGAAACCTTCAACTGACCAGTTGAAAAGCTCACAGAGCAAGGTGAGCGTTTCAAGACAAAATGACGTCAGAGTGCACGACTCTGCCTGGCATTAAAGACACTTTTAACGGAGAAAAATATGCGGGCGAACGAGAAAATTACGCAGAAACGCGATCCTCGACGAAACTACCGCGACTACTACCGGTTCTCGAATGTAATCTTTGCACTGGGTGGGCCGGTGCGGCGTGTGCACATTGGGCGGGTGTATTATTAAAGTGGCGCGAATAACTTGGGCGGATGCCTAGGTCAGGTCCCTGTGGCTCTGCCCCGGTGTTCTCGCAGCGAAACCAATCTCAATATACTGCATTATTAACGCCATACAAGGCTCGGCCACGACGGTATTACCGCCATTAAGCTTCGCGATTTTACTCGGCGGCCTTACCTGCCCGACGAGCCGTGGATTATTGTTAGATCGTACCGATGCCCCCAGCTACGGATTTTCACTTGGGACACGATCGCTGGGGTCCTGCCCCAGGTTTTTGCCAATCGGACGATCAACGTGCCTCGAAATGGGAGATCTGCTCGATTGTGTCGCTGTGAATTTTTAAGGGACGTCTCTTTTGTCGAACGATCGATCGTTCCGTGAATAGGTTAACTTGACTAGGCCTTTCGCGTTCCAGAAAAAAAATGGGGAAATACTAGTCAGAAATTATATTTAAAAAAATATTGTAGAAAATCGTAGCTACGAATTTTTATTTAGGTTCCGCGAACTAACGTGCCTTGAAATCGGATCCGTGTCGATTTGAATTTTTCGAAACGTCACTTTCTTTCGAGTTCTCATTTTTTAGAGAAAATGAAAAACTATCGTCGACAGACACGTTAGAGAAAATGATAGGGATTATTTAACGCTTTGAAAAGATGTATTTTTAAAGGGAAACGCAATAATAATACAATGGCGTATGAAACGCGTCAACTTACTTGACAAATATCGCACTAATGAATCTATTTGCATTAGTACCACTTTCAAATGGTATCGACATCATCACTGTCAGAAGTTATCGGAATAACAGATGTCTCGATTCACGGGCGTATTACACACACTCCCCCCCCTCCCCCCTCCCCCTCCCGATCAGACCAAAATTACCAATTTCATTTACAAGAACACGCGGCGTATTTCGTTCGCGCTAATTAACAACGTTGCGAACGCGCCCACGCGCGTTTCCAATACGCGTGCACGCGCGGTATCGCGGGTTAAAGTGCTGGCAAATTGTCGAAGAATTCAAATTGGCTCCGGGAACGAATAAATCGATACGTATCGACAAAGAAAGGTATCCGTGAATTAATGATACTGAAATGTCGCGCGTTCGTGAAAGAAAGATGAGGTGACTGGAAAACTAGGAGAGGCGAAATGTAACGACGCGACGACGATCCTCCGACGCGGAGGGTTTCCGCCCGGCGTGTATGTTTTTTAATCGGGCAACTGTCGCACGATTTTATCGTAATATACGAGACGGATGATTGACTGCGGTGTACGGGAAAGTTTCGCGAAATCGGGCGATGGTTCGTGTTCGTCGCCTTCGGTGGCTCGAAATCAATCTTAATATTAGCGAATTATTAATGACCCGACCCGTGGCGGGCAATAACTCACGAATGGGACGTTAAGCGCCGCCGAATAGTTTCCAATGGGACCGCGTTGCTCCTTATCAGGCCAGATAAGACTCGAAGCGGAAGCGAGACCTTCGAGGCTGACGTATCGATCGACAACCCCTTGACACTGTGGCTCCATTCGAAATGCAGTTGCGAAATAATTGTGTGCTCGGCACCCCGATTGATACGGCGAGATCTGAATAAAATCGGTGACTGATTCAAGTTTACAATTATTGACGATCTTGGCGGCTCAGTGATTGGAAATGTTATTTCGAAAATTCACGAGGACTTGAACTCGAGTCCCGCGAATTTTCGTGAAAGATTTTAATTTTATATCGCGAGCATGGTATCGCTGGGCCGACCGCTGACCTAATTAGGCGCATTTAAAATTCAATTACCGCTATACTACCGGCGGCGAGTGGGAACGAGGCAGCGCGAGGCTGAATTTCATTGTTCCGAACAGAGAGATCCGGCGAAACGAGTATAGAGTCGCGAAAAAGTCGCAGAACCGCCGAACGTCGACGAAGAAAAGAAAATATATACTCCCTCCTCCCTCTCCTCCCTCCGAGTTCTAGAAAGGTACACCTTGCTATTTCCCTCGTTACGCGTGTAGTGTTGCTGCTAACAATTTGACTCCGAACAGACAGAACGTTTACTTTAATGTGTATCCTTTTAGAGTATAGACTGTACGTATAGAGTGTATGTTGTACACACAAGTATGATTTTGAACAGTAACTTTAGAACTCTAGAAACTTGTACTAGACTAAACGTGTACCACGTCTCCCACCTTATATAGATTACAAACTTTAGATTAGTAGTAAAGCGTAGCCTGATTTAGAGTAACTTGACGATATGCATCGTGAGAAGAACATTCGCGTGAGTTCCGAATTTTTCGACGAGAGAAAAAGTGTGCGAGGGTTCGTTAGATAGCGCGGTGTAACCTGATAAATTCTTATTAGAAGAATAAGTCAGGTTAGGATTATGCCATAAACTCGAGTGCCAGCCGGGAACCAGCTCTGTTATTCATAAACTTCTCTTTTCTTCTTCTTCTCTCTCTCTTTCTCTCTTTCGGTACCCTTTATTCTGTCCCCATTTCCTATACCGAAACGAGTTGGTTCTCCAAAGGGGGAGTTTAGATTGGGTGGATTAGGCCCGCGAGAATATACGATATTTAATAATGCCTCGACACACTAGTTACCTCTCGGGACACCCATCGATCCTAGCAGCCGTAATTAATTATCGTCGAGCAAGGAGGCCGGAATTATTTCTGGTATTAGCCTCCAGGCTCTGACCTTCCTACTTGCAAACACGTTTTGTCGAACCATCGATTCCAGACGCTCGTGTAAGAATCGATATTTCGCCGAAAAAAAAAGAAAAAGGAGAAATAAAAAAGAGAACGAAAAAAAAAACGATATTCGACTCCTCCAGGAACGCTCGTCTTCGCTAGAAAAATGCGCTTGTTCCCTGGTGAAAGAGACTTTAACCGAACCGCGCGCGTCCCTTTTTTCCTCTCTTCCCTCGTACGTAAATTACTCCCTAGACATATTTTTCACGCGACGGAGAAAATTTTCAACGCTTACAGATATACTGGTTAAGGTATTATCTGGTGACAAGCGAAACGGATAGAACAATCGGCGTTAACTCCCCGAACACGTCGATTCGTTTGATTCGCCTTTCAATCGGTTCAAAGGCTGCTGTACGCGCGGGAGGTCAGGTCCGATTCAACTTTCCAATTGAATTATTTCCAAGCGATCTCTCTCTCTTTCTCTCTCTTTCTTTCCCTCTATCGTTCGGACCGTTCGCGATCTCGCTGCCGGGCAAGACTCTCGACCTGATCTTTCTCTCGTTCGTCGCCGTCCAACAGGAAACGGAATTAATTTCTCGATTTATCCGGGCCGATCCCTCAGTCTCGTTTAATAAGTACCACGATCCCACGGTACAAAGAGCACTCTCGGTGAAGAGAAGAGAGAACACGAACGAATCTTAATCTATCCTATTTCCCCCTCGGCGTCGACCAGAACTTTTCCATTTAGAAGCCGATGGCGGCCTCGACGGTGGCCCAAAGGACTGTAGGCCGTTCCTCCGCATAAACCGGAAGAATCCGCGATTATCCCCACTTCGCGGGCTGCCGGTTTCATGGCAGGATGCAACCGCGGGGCCCTTAAATTTTCAACGAGTTATTCGGAAAGTTCCAGTCACGGCAACGCGCAGGAAATAAGAAAACGGAGACACGAGGAACGAGAGAAAGGGAACAACGGGACAAAGGTGCGAAAACCGGATGAAATACGAGGCTGGTCGCGATTGCTCGGGCCCCACCCGGTATTATAACCGAAAGGAAACACGTCTTTGTAGACGCGCTGGTAGAACGAGCAGAATATTCACACAGCGAAGAGAGCTGGTCGCTGGTTCTTAACTCGGCGAAGATGGGTAGCAGCGTCGCGGCCATATTGTTGCGAGGAAGCAAGAAAGCAAGTAGCAAGCAGGGAGGACCGGGACGAAGCTCGAAGGCGACGAGTGAGAGTAGCAAGCGAGAGGGTGCAAAGGCTACGAGACAAAGTTCGCCCGGGCGTATTTAAACTTTTATTCGAAAAGTTTTTAGCGGCAGCCCCCCCGGTAGCGTCTCGTCGACGATGCGCCACGCTGTCATCGTTCCCCCATCCCTACCCCCCATCGTGTGCGCAACCCCCCTCCCCGCGCTCGTGCACGCTGGCTTAAAGGGTCGCTTGTTTGCCAGCCAGAAATGAAAGAAAGAGAGTGCCGCGAGAAGTTGAGCCAGCGATCGCTTTGCGCGAGAGAAACGCGCGAGCAGTAGAAAGGAGAGGAGGAGCGCGGCTGCCTTTCAAGAACGTTTTCGAGAAACGCGGAATATTTCAGAGAAACTGTACGGAAGGAAGGAAGGAAGGAAGGAAGGAAGGAAGAAAGGAAGAGCGGCGGATGGTTGGTTATTCGGGGGTTATTCCGGCCAAGAGATCCGGGATGGGAATTAATTGAGTAGATGCCGCTCTTGAAATTCGCCGGTTGCTAGCCTGCTTGCTCGCCTGTTTATTTTCGGGCCGGGGGACTCCGTCGACGAAGCAAGTCCACTTCTTATTCGCAGCGTGCGAGTTGCTCCCCCTTACCTCAGGAGAAATTAATTATTTCTTGTCTCTTTCCGAGACGCCGGAGCGTTTAATCTCGCATGCTTTTGGGAAATTGTTAACGAGCCGATGAAATTTTCAACGAAATTCCAGCCGCGTTCTTCCCCTCCCCCCTCCGCCCACCTTTAATCGGCGTCTAAACTCCTCTCCGTGAGTTGGCCCGAGAGACGAGAGGCGAAAATCGTAAATTCAACGCTGGATATAACTCGTGTCGCGGATACCGGTAGCTCCGAGCAGAAATTTCTTCAACATCCGAGGGATGAATATTCTTTTTCGACGGCGAACGAAACTCGAGTCGTACGATTGCACGACGCACGCGGGAATATAAACAGCGCTGAATATTCGAGGGTCGATTAGAGCAGGGCCGCGAAATAAGCAGCGAGCCATCTTACCGCGATGTATAAAGGATAACGACGGGTACGTATAATATCGGGGGGGTCCCGTGTCGGGCATGAATCCAAATTGCACCCTTGGCCGACGCGCGCAACGCGAAATTACCACCTAAGCAAAGTTTCAATCTTCCCCCGCGCAAAGGTTGCCCTGGGGCTGACTCCCCCCCAAGTCGGCTTCAGAACCCAAGACTTCGGTTTCGCTGTTCATCGCATCGTTTTGTTTCTACCGTGCGCGGCGCAATGGCTCCAAAAGCCATAGAAGCTTGCAAACCGCCGGATCGGGTAGTTCGACTGGAAACGCGCGTTTTGTTTTTTTCTTTTTCTTTTTTTTTTTTTTTTTCATCAAACGAAGTCACTCTTCCAAACCCCAAATGGGCAGAACGTTCGCTATCTGTTATCTATCGCGCGTCACTGGTCACTGGATACCGGTAGGTATCTTACGTACTAGCAACGTTACAGTCGAGCGGAAACTCGAGGAAGAAAGCAGGAAAGGCGAGGAGACGCGAGCAACAGACATATTTGTGTAACCATTTCCGAACGAGCGAGGAGCAGCTTCCCGTCGTAGTTGCGAAAAGTTGAGGGCGGGTTGGGGAAATTAAGGACTCGATTCTTCCGGTGAACGGAGCGCCAGGAACAGGGGGAGACAAGGAGGGGGAGAGAAAGAAAAAGAGGAAAAACAAGGAGGAAGCCGAGGGTAGTATCGGAACGACTGAATTCCGGCGAAGTTCCGAAAACCGGTGGCGCGCTCGCATCCTTAAAGAAATTCCAGTTTCGAGCGGTTTTCGAGAGGGGCGTATTTCGCGTGAACGAACTTTCAAATCCTCGAGGAAACTCGAGTGCAGCTCCGACCCCCTCCCCCTTTTCCGCCGCCCCTTCGATCTGTAGAATTCCGAATTCGTCGCTACAAACCTGTACCGGCGTGCGGGCTTTCCGCTGTAATAATAATATACTTTCCACCGAGCGAGCTGTTCTCGTTCGACCGATCGAAACGAACGAATCGGGGAAGTTTCGAAACGAGAGGTCTTGAAATTACCTCGCGCACTTACGAGAGCCTGTCGAGAGCGATTAGGAGGATAAACACTACGCGTCGGACGTTTTATGGGAAATCTTTGACCCCCTTGTCTCGTACAAACTGCCGTTTCGATCCGAAAGAGAAAGCCCGCCGCGGAATTTTAAATTTTTCTTTGCGTTAGCGTGAGAATATCGGAATATTCGTGCGCTGTGAATCATGATCTAGTCTGTATTTGGATGTTTACTAGATCAGGACTCGGAAGCACATCAGAATCTCTATTCTTTTCAATGAACACAGAGAAGGAGAATCGTCACTGCAAGTAAACATTATCGTCCTCGGTTAGATAAGACTAGTTGCTGTAAAATTAAATAAAATTAAATAGAATTTGAACAGCACCCGGAAACCGATCAATACATCGAGCAGTAAGTCGTAACACTTTAAATTAGCTATTAACACTTTGCACTCGACTGTGCGTTCTAGGGGAACGCATGGTACTTATATCTGAGCCATCGAAGTTCCTTTTTCTTTTATAATATATATATACGTTTGGCGTTGTACGACATATAGTAATATAATAGTACAATACCTGAACAGACGCCTAGAGCAAAAGCTAACGACGAGAAAAATAAAAGAATTTCAGAAGAATAAACTCCCGAGGACAAAACCAGTCGCGAGTCAATTGACACTCATTTGAAATAATTCGCATAAACTAGACTTTTCGTTGCTTGTCACGAAAGTTTACAAAATGACAATGAAGATTTCTTTTCGGAAACTGAAACTCTTACGCTTATAGTGCTATTATAGCACTCATTAACTATTATAGTAGCTGTTCTTATAGTACTGTAGTTGTTCTAGAAAACCCACAATGCTTTGAACTTAAACACGATATCACATGTCAGAAAGACAAAATTTCATGCTAGACACTATTTCAGCAGGACGATCATTCCCAATACTGAAGTGACATTGCTTCGTAAATAAATTGCTGGTAGGTTTTATAAAAAAAAAAAAAAAGAGTTTCCGAGAGCAAAGGGTTAAACAAGTGCAAATTGTACCGCACGACAGTCTAAATCTGACGCGATGCAACACGTTGCAACAACTAACGCTTCTCGATCTAAAAGAAGCTCGAGAAGAAGATCGTAAGGCCAAGGGGTTGAGAAGGAATCACGGCGGAATTAACGGGAATCATCGAAGTGGAGAATCGCAGAGAATCGGTTCGCTCCGTATCGCTCGCTCTTGTTTTTTTTTTTTTTATCTTCCCCGTCGCGACTCTTTGTGCGGCCGTTCCTCTCTGTCGGCGAGCGCGCTCGGTTCAATGGAACGTCCGCCGCCATCGAACGCAACAAGTTGAACTTGGCTGCCTTTCAAAGAAGCTGCCGGAATTCATCAAACCACGCTGCGGCGCGGTCCGGCTCGCTCGACCCGTTTCCAACGCGTCCGCTCGAAACACCGTTCCCCTGTGGAAACGATCGGCGACACTCTGACCGGCGTTTCCTTCCTCCCCTCCCGGTGAACACGATCGTGCCCATCGCGAAACACAACCCTCGCGCTTTCGTATCGCGCGCGTTGCGTGTTTCTCTTCGTTTCGCTTAACAACGGGGAAATTTCAGCGGGGAAATCGTTGATCGCGCTCCTCCCAAATGGAGGAAAGCAGAGATTTCCTCCGTTGGAGAGAAAAAAAAAAAAAAGGAAAGAGAGAAAAAAGAGGATCGACGATTATGAAGCTCGAACTAATCGCGCCGGATTACCAACTGACTTTAGCGGATAATAGGGCTACCGCTCGGTGGTTTCGCAGTTTTCGAACTTTCAGTCTCTCGTTCTGTGCTCGTCGAGTGCTCTTGATGGCTCTCCGAGCACGTTTTTAGAAAGTTGGGCCGCTACGAGGGGTAGTTCGAAGTTCCGTACGGATCAGAATAAAATATCTTTCGCCGGGAATTTGCCTAAACTTTCTTTCGCTCGTGATCGAAGAATGCGCGGCGGGATCCTCGCTCGCTCGTTGAGGTAACCGTTTCGACATATGGTTTCGCAAGAGTATGATCTCCGTACCAGCCAGCTCGGTTTAATCGATCGAACCGAAAAAAAAAAAGAAAAAGAAACCGAACGGATGAAATAGATTCCTTGACCATGCATCGAATTAAGTTCCCATGGTTACGTGACGATATCGCGCAGCTGTGATCTAGATTCAATTAAGAAACGGGGGAGGAGATCGGTTCCGGTTTCTAGCCGTGAAATTCGTCCCGGGTGTATATATGGCGTAGAGTAGTTGCACGAGGACCAGAGACGAGCATCGACGAGGATTAAAACGATAGAGAAGCAAGGCTACAGCTAAAAATATAAACCAAAAAAAAAAAAAAAAAAAAAAAAAAAAAAAAAAAAAAAAGAAACAGGAAAAGATCGAAAAAGGAAACAAAGAGGAAAATAGAATAAAGGGGCAGTAAGGAGAGAGAAAAACAAAACGACGAGTAAATAAATAAAAACGGAACGTAGAGACGTGTTCAGTCCGAGAGAGAGAGAGGAAAGCGACGGAGAGAAAGGAGGAGGAAGAGGAGGAGGAGAAAAAGAGAGTTGGCTGGGTTAGATGAGAAAGGTCCTAATCTATTTTCAGGACGACCGAGCACGCCGTCACCAGCAAAAAGGCCGACCACCGTGTGGCCATCCTCGTACAACACGTACTATACGAAAAGGACAGAGAGGCCACCTCCCCCGAGCGAGGAGAGGGTCGAGAGGCCAGAGCAGAAGCTACGTGGTGGCCAGAGCACAGGTGAGGCTTGCATTCTCTCATCTGGCCCTCCCTCTCCCGCTCTTTCTTTCGTTTCTCGTCTGTGTCTGTGTTGATCCTTCCTCCCCCCTCCCAATCACCCACCCTCAACCTTCCCCCTCCTCCACGATCTCACTCACCACGCACATAAACGTACACGGCAAAACGACACCACCCCATCATCATCAACTTCCACTATTAAAGGCGCGCGCGTCGGATCCTTCTCGAACTAGTTGTCTGTCATGCGATATTCTGCACCATGCATCCCGCGTGCACACCGGCTAGATTGATTAGAATACGCGTGTAATTGAAAGGAAGACAGGTTCGGAAGATCCAGGTCTGGGGAAGGTCGATTCACGTTTCGGTTTTCCCGATCTCGACGAGACTTTGCCTTGTTTCGCTTTGAAACTGCTGCCGAACGTGAAACACACGTTCACGGGGGGAGGGAGGGGGGGGGGGAAGAGGTTCTCGTTCGGTGCACTCGTTGGCTCGAGTTTAAAGAAAGGAAAGTGCAGAGGCTAGTTTTCCGTGCATTAAACTCGAGCTTGCGCTCAGCTGAAAGAAGATACGTGTCTCTTCGGTCGCTTGAGAAATATGGCAAAGTTTCTTTGGCATCGTTGTCAAAACGTTTCGCAGACGTTCTCGAGAGCGTAGGCTTATCGGTGCTTTCAAACCTACCTTCTGTACGGTATACGCAGCTACGGCACATTTAGATGTAATACGGTATATTTGAAAGTACGAAAGTAAATCCTCCTGTTTGATTTTGCACTCTTGTAGTTGCCAAGCTTCAAACGTGTCTTCTTTTTCCGTTTCTTTATCATTATTATTATTATTATTATTATTATTATTATTATTTAACAAAGTCAGTTTAATTTTGCCATGCGTAGCTCTTTTAGAATGTAGAACGCTTAAATATAGAACGATGGAAGTCGATTTAACCTTCGCCCGGCCAACGTCCAGTAACCACGGCCGTTTTTAACCGCTCCGCAGGTCTAACTTTATTTACCTGCGTTTCGGGTAAATTAAACTGCACTGTCCTCGTTCCCCAGCGCGAGATATCACGCTTACGTAAGGCACCGTAAGGCGTCTTAGCCGAGCTCGCTGTAAACTCATCGCCGCGTTTGAAATTTAAGGGTAACCCTGTTTGCGCCGCATAATGCATCGCGTGTTTACAAGAATCCTTGCGTAGACAAGAATTTAAAGCGTTAAGGGGCGCGTGGAGCGGAAAACAGCCGCGGGCTAGGCGGAAACAGGCGCGTACCAGGCCTCGCCAACCCTCTTCTCACCCCTTCCGCAACCGTCTTTCGGCTCATCCTCTTTTCTCATTTACGCAAATAAGATCACGCCCCGACTTCTTTACGGTCTTGAAAGTAGCGTCGGTGTAATCACGTACCACGCGGTAATTCGGACAACGAATAATTTCATGAACTGTCCCTCTCTCTGTTTTTCTATCTATCTATCTTCTTCGCGCGCTGCTCGTTAATTCCGTTAAAAGGTCTCGTGCCCCATCGAAACGGCCAAGGTATTCAAATTGGCGAGGTATCGAAACGACAGAGACCTCGGAGACACTGTGAAAAAAGCGCGTTCGAAACTTCTCGCTTGTAGAAACTTCTCCGCGAATATATTGCACGCCGATTTTTCCTAGTTGAAAGCCGACTATCGCGACTACGATTGAAACAAATATATATATATATATATACAAATACGTATGTAGAAGCTGCGAGATATTTAGTGCACGATCTTTTATTTCGTGGAACGTTTGCTTCTAATTAGTTACAAACGTCAATACGATCGCGGAGTAGTCGCGTCTCATTACAGCCGAAAGTAACGTCAAAGGTATTAATAGTGATAAACACGTTCAAAGTACTCTCACTGCAAAACCCATAGAAAGTCGGTCTGATATCAACCGAAACAAGTTCATTGGGTCCGAGATAGGCAAAGGAACGTGTTTATAATGCGCAGTAGGCTACTCGGCAGAAACCGGTAGTTCGCGATCAAGCGCGTTTTGATGAAGCGCAGAATAGATGAATGGCCACTCGGATCGTTAACGAGATAACGAGCATCACTGAAATGGTTCGTGGAAACCATTTCGTGGCAACGCCATTAAATTCAAACCGGAACCGTGGACGGGCTGAATGAAACCTTTAATAAGACGTTCAGTCGTTAACGATCAATGTCGGGAACATTATTTATCTTAATAGCCGAACGAACGAAGCGATACTTTCGACGATTCGCAGCGATTTACTTTTGTAACCCTGCATTTCGACGATCTCATTTTTCAATCACGCTCTCTCGCGGAAAGTCAGCCTTCTGAATTCTACGCCTGCTATTTCTGCTTTCCCGATCAGATAACTCGGTCGGTTAAATTTATCGTTACGAACACGGCTGACTAACCTCGTTCGATGAAATTCATCGTATCTTGAGTCGCGAGCTGACAGCTTCGTACGTTATTTACGCGAAATCTTGACCCAATCGGAGCTCCAACTCTTTTGTATTTTTACACAATTCGAACGTCACGATCGCGATTAAAAACTGTGACACGGCTCACACTGGGAGAGCTGAAAGCTACCGAACGATTTCTTGTATCTAATTTTTTATTTTTTTCATTAGGTACAAACTGTTTGTCGTTATTTTTAATAGTAGACGCGACCGAAACCAGTCACCAGAGCTGGCCTCACCATCAGCCATCTTCTCAGTTCTCAATTCTTTGTAATTCGAACGAGATTCCCCGAATATCATCTTTCAATTTATAAATTGACAAACAGAACATTTTCAAGTGTACGCGAATGCGTACTGTGGGAAAAGGCAAACGCCGGGTCTCGTTGAAGCATTTACAGTTTCGTTGTCGCGATACAAATAGCCCGGTACGTACCGTCCATAAAGTATTCTCGAGGGTGTTATCACGTGACGATCGCGTCACCGGTGAAATACGATCCTGGCAAATCCTCGTTCATTTTCATTCATTAACGGCCATTAACTGCACGGTAATATTTCAGCCGGGGGAAAAAGTCAATGACAGATCTACGATGGAAATTCGTCGAGTGTCCGCGAAACTTACACACCGAAGTTTCGCCGCTTTGCTTCCTTCGTGATATTTTAAACAACGGGCGAAACGGGCACGCGCGCGCAAAGCGTTCATCTTTTATTGAAGATCCGATATCGATTAGATTCCCGCTGCGACGAAACAATTTGACAGGCAAATGACAAAGGTTTATTTTCGGAATGCCCGCTCTCGGAATTTCCTCCGCGGAGAAATGGATTGTCTAGTCAGGCACGTATGTATATTCCTGAACGTTTTACACTGCACGTGAGAATCGCAGCTAGACTAACTTTCTTGCGAAAGAAATCGGCGACGATTCGTAGAATGGCCGAAAGTTTCGACTAGCTTGGGTAAAACTGCCAGACTCGACTGGAACGTGAAACTCGCGTCAAATACGTAGATACAGTTGCTAGAAAAAATATTGACACCTACGACGAAACGACTTTTTTTCAATCAGATCTTTCACATTTCATCGCGATACTACAAACTAGTTGCTTTCACTAACATTAAAAACTATTAATGGTGACGTCCTACATTGTACGAAGGATAGAAAGAAAAGTTTGTCCGTGGCTATTATAGATAGAATTTTACACCTCCGATTTGATGGAAATATATAAAGAACCTGCCACGAAATTGATCTTGATCTTGAATTTCAAGGTCAATAAAATTTTTCTTTTTTTCCTTGTGCTTTGTATTCTGCTCATCACGGAGGTAAAACTTTTGCAAGGAACCTGATAGTTCTCTTGAAACATGGCAAAAAAGTTTCATAATCATTTAACATTGCGGACACGTGAATGTTAACAGCGAGTTTATGGTTATTCCCTACGGATGTATATTTACGCAGAGTATCCGTTCTACGTGGGTTTGTTTTTCGCGTATAAAAATCGCATAAATAGAGTCTGTTAGGACAAAAGAAAACAACATATTGGAAAGAAATGCTGGTACAAGTTATATAAATACATGTTTATTTCACGTGGAATAACAACAATAATAATAATAACATTTCAGAAAACAAAAGTAAATTGTATTCGGTGTTACTATCGCTGCTGTGATTCGAAATGATCAACCTTTTCTTTTTAATTGGCGCATTAAAAAACTCCTTATCCTCATCGCTCGAAATGTTTGGAAGTTCGTTTTCATTTTCATAACTAATGTTGACTCTTTCGGACGATTTGTTCTCAGATTCATCTTTTGCTAAGTTTTCATAAATTTGTCAATATTTCTTTGAATCTTGTTGAAACTTCAAAGCTCGTTGATCACGTTTGTATCAGTTCTCTGGCCGCGTAAATTCAGACTATTTTCAAAAGTTACCGCGTTACATTATAGTGTTACAATTCGCACCGTGTAGAAAGAGGCTCGCGTAAAAAAAGAAAAAACGTTCAGCATAAACGGAGGGACGGATGTATTGTTGTTTCGCGTCGTCCCATGAAAATGGTGTTCGCCAACAAGCTTCGAAGTGTCATTAAAACCCGTTGAGCAAACAGTTGGCGACCGTCTGTTCGTCATTATGTAAACGGAAGTCCGATTCGTACGATTCGCGTTCTACCGTGCGGTGAGTGCCGATCGCCACGGCCGAACGTGACCAATTGTACGACGTTTAGACTACGTTTTCCCAAAGGGAAATGCGTCCGGAATTTTACAGTGGGTTTGTAACGTGGCAACGACGGCACCGATGGCGCCACGATGTGCACCGCCGGCGAACACGCGCCGAAAGCTCGAGCGAAAGTCAGCAAGCACGTACACGACCGTGTGTGACCTGGATTGCCTGGACGTATCCAACGCTGGCGGAACGTGCGAAAGTCCGACACGGGAGGGACAAAGTTCGATAAGGGGGTGTAAACTCGGAGATATATTTCTCTGGGAAAGTATACGACCGGGATCGAGCGTAACGGAAGGATCGACTCGTACGTAGCGGCATTACCGGCGAGAATTGCCGCCGTAACGCGAGTTTGACGAATAAAAT